TCTTTTTAGGAGAAATTCGTTTGCTGCCCAGAACCTTGGGTGCTCCTGGAAGCAGTATTGGTCGTTCGTCGTAAACCTCTATACTATATAGTGAATCTGGTTATTCCTACATCAGTCATCACAATGGTCGCCGTCACCGGTTTCTTTACCGCAGCCTCGACTAGCACTGAAAGGTTTGAGTACCAATATCTACAGCGGCAAAATAGGGATGGATCGAGAACAATAGCAACCCATGAATTCCTCTATTTGAGGGGTTGTGTCTTCCACTCCTTGATTCGCAATGAAAAGTTCTCTGGGCCTTTTTATGAGCCAATTTTCAGACGTGAAAAGCTGTCCTTAGGCATCGACTCGTTGCTAGCCATGTCTATCCTGATGATGATGGTATCGGAGCAGATGCCGACTACCAGTGACTATGTACCTCTTTTTGGTGAGCATTTATTAATTCCCTATTCGAGATGCACAAAAATCTCATGTAACTGTGTTAATTGTTCTATTATGCGTAGATATGGAGCATATGTTTTTTATTTGGTATCGCAATGATAAACAAATATATGAGCTGTCGAGTCTCAACGCCACGTAGGGGTTTCAGATTCAGCTTTGCGACGGGCCATCTATCAGACATCTACTAAACTTCGAAATCTCCATTGAATGGCGTTTCTTTTTCACAACATCACGGTTTTACGACGAAAAAATCGGATTTAATTTGCGAGTAGAAAAGTCGGAAGCTCGAAACCGATACTAACGCACAAGTTCGAGAAGCCAAGAGCGCTTTCGAGAAGCGGCCTACTTCCTTTCCTTCCGAGACTACAATCCCCCAGTACAGTGAATCCAGGCACATATATGAGTACCTGTTTTCGAAAACTGCCCGCTCTGTTCGACCCTTCCAAATTCGGACCTATTGTCACGCATTTTGAGAGCAAATCCTTTTGCTTCAGTCCTTCAATTCACTCTTTCTTAATCAATAACTTCAAGAATTCGAAATTTTATAATTATAACACGAACCAATACTAATGCACATGCCCGAGATGCAAAAACCTGCTGGAAACCCTTTTTCCTGATTAAAGCTGTTTAAACCGATGTAATCGAGTGAAACTCCCAGCCTACCTGTGTATGAACGCAGTATATTAGAAAGGGTTTGTGCCGTGTGCATGAATCTCCTTGACCACTAAGATCAGGAGGGATCTTCACAGGGATATCATCACTCTTGCACATATAATCTACGAGTGTGGGCGTGCAGACCCTTACTCGACTCTCAATGTGCGGCGTCGAACTCTCATCGCGCATGCGATGGCGCGCACCACTGGCGCTGCGCCACTTAATCAACAAGTCCAGCGCGATGATTTTCTTCTTTTAGGCCTATTCTATCTGACAATTATCATTGTGATCTTCATCGGAACGTTATTTACGGCAATCATACTCAATATTCATCTACAGAAGATGTATGCTCAACCAGTATCACCACTGATATCGTACTTGTTCTTCAATAAGGTATGGATTTCGGGACTCAGAGTTGATTTCGTTGTCATTTTCGTTAACATTCGCTTGACTAATGGTAAGCTGTTAGTTTTGCCTATCAAAGAATACGGCAGACCTTGAAACTTCGTCTAGTTTTGAGTTCTTCATATGAGTTTTGCTCAGAACTTTCCTAAATGTGATCGAATTCTTCTTCGGCTTGGTGAAAGCGCATCTTCGATGTGTAGCGGTTCTCCAATACTATTCGGCTTGTCTTCAAGTCTTCATTTTGGAGCTATCATCTCCTTACGATGCCGGCTAGAATCTTAATTCCTCGACTGGAATGGGTGTTTTCAGTTGTAGTAAAAACTATTCATGGAAAGCGGGCGTATGTATACCACCTGGAAACAAAAGTTCCGGGAACAGTTAGCTTCCTATTAGTGAGCAATTAAACTTAAAGTCAATGGGATGTATCCATTGAAATATCAGTCTGGAAGCAGCCATTTGTGCCTAGACTTCATTCCCCACTTTTCAGAACCTTCTAACTTGTTTTCAAACTGTTTTTTGAAGTGATGACACCATAAACATCTAAGTACCTAACAAAAAGGCTCTTATGAGGTTCATGCAAAACCAGTTTATAATGTGGTATGTCTTTCATTTGAGCGACCAAACATCCAACAAGAGCACTAGCAATGCTTAGAGAATTCATTGAAAGTACTTTAAGAAGCGTGAGTTCACTCATACTAAGTTGGGTTGGGAGTTGGGAGAGGTTTGTCCAACAAAGGAGCTGTTGAGACTGTAAAGTCATCAAACCGTGGATATGAAGTTAGATCTCGTAACATCCCAATCAATATGTATGTTTCATGTAGGCATCGCTTACCTGAGTCCTAATATAGTATAATATAGTGTCCAGCTACTTAGGTTATTTTTGTAATTGAAATCGTTATATTCCGTGAGTTATATTATTATAGTGAATAATTGATTCC